ATTGATTACCTAATACTATCATCATCTTTCTGTGTGCTTGCCTGTGTCCATACAAACATTATGATCTTTACAATTCATCCTCTTATTAAACCTTGGATCTCTGTTGACCGGCTCTAATTGATCATTAACTCATTCACCCCTGAAATTTCATAATGAACTATTCCATCCTTTGAGTTGGGAGAGTTCAAATGTGTCTTCAGAGGTGAGTGAGTTAATATTACAGCTTCCAGTAAGGAAACACCAATGATAATTTTGCCAGTAATAAATATTTTTCGTTATTAAGAGTCTGACCATACAAACTAGAATGTCCTTGTGTTGTCGGGCGACCTCCAATTACATTACAAATTGGACCAGTGTATGCATAGACTAACATTGATTGGTTTGTCAAAGCTCTAGCAAGGATACACAAATACACTACATGTATTTCTTGTGACAGGAATAGAATACTGTTAACCACTTTGTGGTCTCTAGTTTTTTTTGCATTTATTTAAACGGTCAATTCTGCATGATAGTTTTTTCACAGATTTTAGGTGTAGCTACCATGGCAAAGTGTGCAATGGTAAATACCTGGTTTAATTTGCTATTAATTTAGTAGATTTCATTTTTGTTCAGAATTATTTTTTTTCATATTCATGTAAAAAAAAAAAAAATGGAACCCCCAAATTAAAATCACTCAAACCTGGTGGTCACAAATCATATGTAAGCTTTGTGTGGCCTCTGGCAACTACTGTATATATCAAAACAATTTGTGTTATTGTTTACGTTTTTTTTTGTTATTTCCATCAAATATAGACTACTTTTACCAAAATTTAAGATGAATGACCACAATTAAGAAGTGGAACTCTTTGAAATATGTAAAATAATCACTATCATACCAGGAAAAAAATCATGGTGTCTTCAGCAACTCAAACCAATCTATAAATGTTAGAATTACCACCACTTCATATACTTCAACTTGTACATAAAGCATTAGGCCATAGAAAAGGCTTCCAGTTCATTGTCCATGCATGAAGCACATTTTTCGATTTTTGGCTCATTAATATATGAGCCTTTTATTTATTCTGGTCAATGCCAAAAGGAAGTATGATCTTTCCCACTTAATCAAAGTGGTTCATTAGTGTTTGTGATATTAATTTTGCGAAAGGACATGGTATGTTGTTTGACCCCAACCATGAATTGCAGAGTCATTTTATAGTACAACGGGGTTATATTGACATAATCAATAGTACAGTTGTGGGATCGCACAACGTTACACGATGTGCGGTGTNTTGCAATAACTGTGGTCTGATACCATATTTGTCAATAACTGTGGTCTGATACCATATTTGTCAATAACTGTGGTCAGATACCATATTTGTCAATAACTGTGGTCAGATACCATATTTGTCAATAACTGTCGTCTGNCTTGATGTAAATTGAGGAATGCCTTAACAATTTTTACGGTTTCGTGTTTAAACATATAAACTTGATGTTTACGTTTGTTTCTATATTCTAGCAACATCTATAAACTTATCTTTCTGTCTATACATTCTTATATTTAGAAATTGTGTTTTGTGTTTTTAAACAAACGGAATCGACACATGTAAAATTACAACACAATCCCGTATACAGGTAAACATAAGCACTTTGTACATGTACCTGGACCGTAGTTTTCTCCCCGCCTGAGCACTTACGTAACTCGTCCGGGTAAGGCCGGGGGTGTGAAAATCCAGGTGAAGGGAAGCTATATATAGGCAAACGAATGCAAATAACAAATACTATTCATTACGGTCAAACGGTATCGCATATCAGCTCTGTGTGTCAGGCACTGGTCAGGTAAAACTCCGGACACTCATAAAATTGTTATTTACCTGTTCTGTTAATTTGGAGCTAAACCCATTCTTGACAGCCTAACGGTCGCTGTAATACTGTGTAACACGCATTGTGAAATTGTATAATCTTGATT